GCATACCAGACATTTAATCGACTGTGCATCCCATCTACATTACATTAGAACTGGTTATACTATGCATATTATTACAACTGTGCATACGAATGATATTATTAGAGATATGCTTACCTGGCACATTATTACAACAGCCATATCATGCATGTAATATCGCCTATGATACCCGCACCATATACACCCCGTGCTTTGTTCGTTTCACCATCAACAATGGGCGGACTTTTCGCTTTGTCGGAGGGTTCACCATCCTGCCCTCGTGTTACAATGGCACCAGCCAAGGCAGCACGAGTCCAGTTAGTCTGTCGTACAGACCCTGAAGCAAATATATCCAAGAAAGCCCACGCAAGTCTAGAAAATGTGGCAAGTCTAGATTTCCTCAGCTTCTGAAAATGAAGAAAGTCTCAGGGCTCCTTTTCATTATATATATATATTTTTTTTACTATGAACTTTTTTCAGTAAAATATGTTCATTCCAGAGACTAGTTGTTAGTCTAGAGTCCAGCCATCGCTATCTACAGCCTCAACCCGCTGAGGACCTTTTTCACCTCGGACAGCCCACGGTACTTTTTGTTGTTGCAGGTTTACATAAATGTTATAAAATATATGGCAAAAAGAGGTCTTCTATTTTGTTATTGATGAGCATTCAACATACCTGGTCTGTACGTTTTGCCGTTGAATCATATGTTTCTGAAATCTGTATTTTTCTCCCTTGTGAGGGGGTCGGGTAGCCTAGCGGTTAAAGATTCCCCAAATGCGTACAATGTGTGAAGCCCATTTCTGGTATCTCCGCCTGAAATTGCTAGAATATTGCTAAAAGCGGCGTAAAAGTAAACTCACTCACACACAGCTTGAAAACATCGATACACTAGGCGGACATCTAATTCATGATGCGAAAAACACATACCCAGCTGCCACATGCATGTAGTAGGACGCGTGTACTGTTGCTACAATATACATATATATTGATGATGGATTATATGCAGTATAGATAATATAGATTCTGTCTGAATGTACTGACGTATAACGGCACAAGTTGAACGTACACGGGCTGAGCCAGCATACAGCAAAAATAATATTCATTAAAATATATCTACACAACATGCAAAGGTAAATATGCAAACTTTCAGCAAACGGTTTATTTCAATGGCATGCAACAAATCAAGTCACTTTCGACAAATACTGAGGATACAGGGGGCGGTGGGGTAGCCTAGTGGTTAAAGCGTTCGCTCGTCACGACGAAGACCCGGGTTCCATTCCCCACATGGGCACAATGTGTGAAACCCATTTGTGGTGTCCCCCGCCGTGATATTGCTGGAATATTGCTAAAAACGGCGTAAAAACCATACTCACAAATACTGAGGATACAGGCGGCATATCCATGTTCTGCCAATATAGGATTGACGAGTTGAGTTGAGTTGACATGGGGTTAAACGTCGGACTGAAGAATATGACGACGTGCATGCATGTGCATGTGTGGCTGCTTGTACTAGCCCAGACTTACGCTGGTTTTATAGTGCTAGCTCACTGAGATACCATGCCGCAGTTAAGCATGAATAACCCACTTAGACACAGTAAACTGACTCCGAGCCGACCAGTCCTTGTTGTACCCATAAATGCCGAGCGCCTGGCAGGAACCACATTTTGGTATGACGCGGCCGGGGATCGAACCCGCGACCTTCCGCTCTCAGGGCGACGGTTGACGAACATGCATGAGATACTGGGGAAGTGTTCTTCCTCTTGCAGGATCCCGAGACATCACGAACATGCATGGGGTACTAGGAACGTATTCTTCCTCTTGCAGGATCCCGAGACATCACGAACATGCATGGGGTACTGGTGACGTATTCTTCCTCTTGCAGGATCACGACATGTCACGAACATGCATGGGGAACTGGGGAATGTTCTTCCTCTTGCAGGATCCCGACACGTCACGAACATGCATGGGGAACTGGGGAATGTTCTTCCTCTTGCAGGATCCCGACACGTCACGAACATGCATGGGGAACTGGGGAAGTGTTCTTCCTCTTGCAGGATCTCGACATGCCACAAACATGCATGGGGAACTGGGGAATGTTCTTCCTCTTGCAGGATCACGACACGTCACGAACATGAACATGCATGGGAACTTGGGGAAGTGTTCTGCCTCTTGCAGGATCCCGACACGTCACGAACATGCATGGGGGACTGGGGACGTGTTCTTCCTCTTGCAGGATCACGACACGTCACGAACATGCATGGGGAACTGGGGAATGTTCTTCCTCTTGCAGGATCACGACACGTCACGAACATGCATGGGGAACTTGGGAAGTGTTCTGCCTCTTGCAGGATCCCGACACGTCACGAACATGCATGGGGGACTGGGGAAGTGTTCTTCCTCTTGCAGGATCACGACACGTCACGAACATGCATGGGGAACTGGGGAATGTTCTTCCTCTTGCAGGATCCCGACACGTCACGAACATGCATGGGGAACTGGGGAAGTGTTCTTCCTCTTGCAGGATCACGACATGTCACGAACATGCATGGGGAACTGGGGAAGTGTTCTTCCTCTTGCAGGATCACGACACGTCACGAACATGCATGGGGAACTGGGGAATGTTCTTCCTCTTGCAGGATCCCGACACGTCACGAACATGCATGGGGAACTGGGGAAGTGTTCTTCCTCTTGCAGGATCACGACACGTCACGAACATGCATGGGGAACTGGGGAAGTGTTCTTCCTCTTGCAGGATCACGACATGTCACGAACATGCATGGGGAACTGGGGAAGTGTTCTTCCTCTTGCAGGATCACGACATGCCACGAACATGCATGGGGAACTGGGGAAGTGTTCTTCCTCTTGCAGGATCACGACATGCCACGAACATGCATGGGGAACTGGGGAAGTGTTCTTCCTCTTGCAGGATCACGACACGTCACGAACATGCATGGGGAACTGGGGAAGTGTTCTTCCTCTTGCAGGATCACGACATGTCACGAACATGCATGGAGAACTGGGGAAGTGTTCTTCCTCTTGAAGGATCCCGACACGTCACGAACATGCATGGGGAACTGGGAAAGTGTTCTTCCTCTTGCAGGATCCCGACATGCCACGAACATGCATGGGGAACTGGGGAAGTGTTCTTCCTCTTGCAGGATCCCAAGACATCACGAACATACATCGGGTACTGGGGAAGTACTCTTCCCCAGCATCTCCAAGGGGTGACGAAAATGCATTGAGGGGCATATATTCTCTCCCGCAATGCACACTGGGCCAAAGACATTATTCACCATTTGGTCGCGCCTTACGACCTAGCTAGGTGCCGCACGTTAGTCCAGCCGTCTACCGCGCCGTAGTGCGTTGTACATGGATGCATCACCCGGCACGCACTTTTCTTTCAACACTTTTCGCTGGTTTAACTAAAACATGGTAAACATCTAAGATCTGCACCAATTCGGGCTTTCTTTCCCCATTTATAGCAGATGCAGCCAGATAAGCGTTAACCACAACTTACTCACTCACTGATGATGATGACGAAGACGACGACGATGATGATATGTATTTTGCCCTACAATTCCACCCCACGAGAGTGAATGGTCGGATCGCTATATTAATTCCACACCTGTCAATGCAGCAGTGTTCAACCAGTATATTATCAATATCCCAAGCGTTCTCAACATAAACGCCCATCACAGGTAATCGCGGTTAATTATCACCATTCTATATATACAACTGAACTGCGCAATAGGCATTTTTCAGAAATTGGTAGATGACGAGAAGTCTAAAGTTTCAAGATAAAATTTCCTTTACTATACACTAATAGCGACCGTTGCGGTAATTGTGTAGATCCGTACACAACTATCCTTCACACGCGGTACGGATGTGAAACAACACAGTTAATTTTATCCACAAACGTTTGTGTACTTTGATATATGCATCTAATTCCGTTAGAATATTATCATTCTATCATTGATCAAATGATTATTATTATATTATGATTATTACAAATATCCGTGAGTGACTGAAACGAATAGGACAAATTAGTAAATGTCTGTTAAGACATTACACAATAAAACAGTTTTATTAAATAAGATAAACAAGAGGTTAAAGGTGGGATACCGCCCCATAGGCGGATCCAGAGGGTTGGGTGGGTTGCGCACCCCTTTTGTGCTGAAAGTTTGTTAAATGACCATTGAAACTCGGGTAAAAATGAAGTGTGCACCCCTCCTTTTCTCAATAGTGTGCACCCCCCCTTTCTCAAAAAGCTGTATCCGCCCCTGCGCCCGGTAGTCTTGTTTGAACGTTGGTGTAGGATAACGAGCAAAAAGAAATCCCAGCACAGGGCAATAATTGTATAAGATGAAATATTCATTGTGACATATATATTTATATACAAACGTGTTTAGCTTATGTAGACGTTTATAGCATTTCTACAGATTCACCATCTGTCGCGGGTAGGAGTCGGGGTAGGGGTAGCGGTAATGGTAGGGGTAGGGAAGAGGCAAGGGTAGGGCATGTATGTCATGTTTATCTTGAGTAATAGATTACTGCTTGGGCGTTGGTTAACAATACGCCCGACGCTGAGCCAGCTCAACAAATCACTACTCCGCTTTATATATATGTTATAGACCTGTATTTGTAACCCACTTTTGTCACAAGGTACGTAATGTATGGTATATTTCAATCGAAAGTTCGAATCAATACTAAAGTATTTATCAATTTAACCTACAAAACGTATACAGTGTCTGGGTCCCCGTATAGTGGGGTAAAGAGGCGGACGTGTTTCGTGATTAAATACACGTCTCTCACACGACCACCGACTCTGTAACGATATATGCAGAATACCAAGTGTTAATATAGGATATATCCTAGCAATGTGCGCCTGCAGTAACATTTTCACCGCTATATTGAACATAAAAGGCGTGCGGATAGTCGCGTTGTGCATTGACGCATTTCTCTGACAAAGCGTCTGACCTATCCCATAATGCAACTTTGAGCGCAGCTGCACATGCGCACTGGACGAAAGCGATGTCCTAGGTCGCATTTCTCGATAGGCCCTAACTTTCTTCAATGCAGGATTTTGACGTTTACTCGGCTCCTAAGGCATGACAGGGCTGGTGTTACGGTAGAAGAAACAAGTATGGCTAACCCGAAATACCGGGACTGGATTCTAGAGACGATTGATCAGCTGCGGAAGAGAAAAGCTCGGCCGGACCTCGAGCGCATTTGCCACATGGTAGAACGAAAACATGGGCTGAGTTCACGAGAGACGGAAGCGCAACTAGAAAAGCTGGTCGACTCAGAAATAGTGATAAAAGTTGACTATAAGGGCAACACGAGCTATAGAAATGGGGCCAAATGGAAGAAGAGTCATTTAGGAGGGGTTGTTTTGAATTCCAGCACGGCTAGCAAAAGACTTCACGATGCGATCACTGAACTCAGTGATAGCCAGCCTACTCAGAATCAGGAAACGGAACGGTTCGGGATAAGTATACGTGATATTAAAAACTGGCTGCAGTCGAATTTTGACGACGAGGTGCCGCTGAAAAGCCCAATTAATATTGTTCTCCAGAGGGAAATTGATGCAGGAAGGATTGAAAAATTACCAAATGGGAATTTTTCTTTACCATCATCTGGGCATAAAGTATCCAGGCCTAAAACTTTGGATGTGAAACAAATCGCCGGCGCTCCGTCGAGGAGGGGGCGGCCCCCGAAAAACAAGAACCTTGGCTTAAAAAAGGTCGGTTCTTTTTACCACGTGTTATCATGATTAATTCTTACATTATAGTTTGTAATATTTACTCTCTTTTTATCGGATGGAATGATATTTATTTTTCTATTATTCCTTTAAATGATGTTGCGCGCATTTAATGATTTTGATTCTACACATTGGCGATATTATGATCGTATTATTTCGTCATGATGTAAACGCATTTTTCAGATTATCACATATGAGTATCATCTTTAACCACCAAAAAAAACAAACAAATATCGGTTTCCTTTGTTGCTTTTTTGTGACGGACAGATCGCATGATGCGTTTCGGTGACTGGGATACGGGGCCCTCACTCATTCACTGGTGGAATTTCAGCGCAGGCTGCAGTATTGTTATAATTTATCATTATAGCGGCATCCCGTGCGTTATCATATGATATGGTCTTAGATTCAACGCTGAACAGTTGTCGTCCGTGCGTTCTGAAAAGTAAATACATCTTTGTTTGATAACAAACCGATGTACATACTACGCCGGGACGGGCATCTTCTTTTTACACGTGTGCAAAGCTGATTAACGCTAAATGGGTCGATCGTTTTCCTTTTCTCCGCTGAAACAATAATCGATAACTGTTTACTTGTGAATGGCAGTGAGTACACTGTGCAAGCGTGAATTCTCTCACGTACATTTGTAGGTCAGGACTGACAATTGAAATGACGCTGAGCTAGAATGCGTAACCCGATTCCAATCGGGAAGATATTCTCGTGGATGCGAAGTACTGCGGCACTGTCGCGCGTGTTCGTGGGTTATTTGCACCGGCTCGAGAATTTGTTATATTTATGAATTTCCGATAGACTTCCATGTTAAAACGAAAGTTGGTCCCGGAAATTGATATTTTTGGACAATATTCGTTGCAGTTGTGAACAGATAAATGTGGAAAATTCGTAGCATTACTAAATGAATGGAACGAGCGAGTACCGCAATGGCGACCACGCCCCGATATAAGTACGAGGATGTCCTAATTTCGTGTTTTCGTTAACGTTGGGAATATTTCGGCCACAGCGCACAACACAAGCGATATTCAGTTCCTGAAAATCAATAACTCATTTGAATGAACTGTGCTGTTTCCAACGGAATTACCTGTTATTTTAATTTTTTATGCAGACCATTTCTCTGGTACTTCCTAGTGTTTTAAGATCATTGGAACTATAGGCACTGTCAGCAATTAGCTGTTGTTCATGTGAACAGGTAATATTGTGATAGGAAGGGGTGTACATGAGCAAGGGGCTATGCTGGTTGGATAGGGGGGGGGGGGGGTGAGTACGGACTGAGATGAATGGAGGTAGATGGGCATGTGATTCTCATTAAAATCATATGTTTTTGTGTGTGTAAAAACTTAGAGTAAACTAGTCCCTTGAAGATAAACACTTTCAGCTCCATGAACCCCTTCAGGCCATACCTGATGAATCTTGTGCATGCTTTTAATCAAGTATATATTTATCTACTCATATATAGTACAACCAAACACTTCTATATATTGCAATGAGGCTAATATATTATTACAATCTGAAAATGAAAATTTGAAACACTTCTGAACATGTCTTTCAGTGGCATTTAGAAGTTGTACATTGATGTCCAAGATATTTTTTATGGATTAAACTTCTTTTTTAATTTCTCTCACAATGTTTGAGACCATTCCAGGTCCCTTCATCAGGTGAACTGGCAGTTCACCTGATGAAGGGACCTGGAATGGTCTCGAAACGTTATGAGAGGAAGTTTAATCCATAAAAAATATCTTGGACTTCTGAACATGTTTAAACAAATATTTCTGTAAGTATTAAGTCATGACTAGATCCACTAGTAAATAACTTAATAATATAACTTCCTTGTAATCTAAAATCTTTTCAGTTGCATTTATTATTTGAGGTGATTCACATTGACGGAGGAAATTTATCAATGTCACCTTCTGTATTTTGAGGAACACAGTGTTTCGGAGTATGTTGTTATTTTCCTCATCACATAGTTTTAATTCACCTGACAAAGGAGTAAGAATATACTCTGAAACATCGTGTTTATCAAGATAGAGATGTTTCTTAAATTTCTCCCCTGTATTTGTGATCTGTTGGAATATGATAATGTGTCGGGGGACATTGATATATATTTTTTTACATTTGGATTTTTTTTAAATTCGCTATTCCTTCCTTTTTTTAGGCATAGAGAATTTTATTGGATTTTCAAAATATCATGACTGTTGATGATGCATTGTTATTCAAAAGGCTTAAAGATTGAGCAGAAACATCAGTATTGCATGAATACCGGGCAATAGTTCCACAGCTGTCTCGCCAATACGGTTTACTTGGACACCAGTTGATGCAACTTAGTCATTGTTTATTATTTATAGTCATGATAAAAAGGCTTACATCACATGTATCAGGGCGACAGATAATTTTTCAACATCAGGAGTACGTACTCCTTCTTTTTTCAATATAGGAGTACTGGAAAATCTTAAGAGTACATTTAGAGTACTGAATGGAATTTAATGGCATATCAGTAATCTTGTGTTTCGTTTCATATATGCACCACAACATTGTGTAAACAGGTCAATAAACAATAAAACAATTCTTTTTTTTAGATAAATACGTCTGTAAATGATTCTAAGACCATACACCATTGCTGTGGTGCGTATCTGCTACATTTTCTAAATTATTTCCTACCGTATCGCGCATATTTTTTATCCGTACATACGCCGATACGGCTCTTATCTGGAGCCCTGATGTATACCTAATAGGAATTCGCCATACTTATTTAAGTTGTAAATACAATTAAAGTGAAAGTCAGGTGAGGGAATGAAATATTGTTTCATGCTGACCTCGCCAATGTTCCAGTCTGTGTATGTAAATATAATATCTGGAACAACACGAACCAGTGATTAATTGCATAAGCACGAACCATGGGGACTGTGAATATGAAATCAGCCAAGTGTTTCACGACGCTCAGAGCAACAGTTCAGCTATGTGACAACTGTTTGTAAATACTTGAGTCTGGACTGGACAATCCAGTGATATTGTGAGGACACTATGTATCTTTGTAGTATGAAGACACTGACTGAACCAGGTCAACAAACCTGGTCACCTGATTCATTTGGTCACCTCTTAGGCTGTCCTTAATGTTTTCTTTGCTTCTGTTGTCCTGCCAGCCCTGAATTTTCATTCCAATGTTAAAAAATGAAAAGTTTTTTTATCTTAATTTTCCCAGCTGCTGTGGACAGTTATATCCTTACACTTGCTGATTCATAAAGATAGAGGTCAGCTTGCTCTTTCTTAATACATTACTGAAAAGTTTCCTGAGCAAAGCAATTCGATTTTCATCAAATATTATTACTAAGTGATAAATAATGAGTTTAAAAATCTTTTAAATGTTTTTGGATTGCTTCAAATTTTTTCCCACTCCGAATCTGGTTGATTGAGGGTGGTGGGGTAGTCTAGTGGTTAAAGCACTCATCACACCGAAGCCCCAGGTTCGATTCCCACATGAAAACCATGTGTGAAGCCCTTTTCTGGAGTCACTGGCCGTGATATTGCTGGAATGTTGCTAAAAGTGGCATAAAACTAAACTCCCACACTCACTCACTCACTCACTCTTGCTGGTTCAGGTTGGAGATGAGAAACACATTATAAAAACTAAGGGATGGCTTTACGACCAGCTAAGGTTGCAGGGGACCTGACCAGGAATCCCCAGTCATAGAGTGCTCAAACTGTAATTTCAAGCACCTCTTTTAAGTACTTTGAGGTACTGGAAACCAATTCCGAGCTGGATGTCTCAGGAGATAACGCTGTAGGATTTAGAACACATATGTAGAATAAAACATGACATTTGTTGTCTATAAGTAAGTTGATCGGAACAAATGGCTGACAGTTTGGGATGTAAGTGTAAAAAGTTTTAGCCCCAACAAGCCATGCAGGTTGTTGGGACTCCTCCATATTACTAGCTTGTCTTAAAAGATGCAATCCTTCATTGTGAACAGAAGGGGACAACTTACCATTGTATCTACTGTTGGGGTGCTGAGGTAGTCTGGTGGTTAAAGAGTTCGTCATGCTGAAGACCTGGGTTCGATTCCCCACATGGGTACAAAGTGTGAAGCCCATTTCTGGTGTCCCCCGCTGGGATATGGCTGGAATATTGCTAAAAGCTATGTAAAAATATAATATATCATTCCTATCACTTTACATGTATGATGTGCTTTCCATGATCAACCAGTGAGACGCTAACTTTAAGCGCTCACAAACATCGGCTACATTACGACAGGGGATTCAACTGTAATTTGTACTGAAGCAATTGGTTTCTTAATACAGTGAATCTACTCTTAGTGTTCAAATGAATGCAATAATAAGTAATTGAAGTTTTTACTGGAGAGTAGAAGGCATAAAGGAAGGAACTATGCCTCTTCTCACAAGGCTTGCTATTTCGGACAGTGGTATGGAAAACTTAATAATGTGACTTACAGACCCAGAACTTTTTTATAATTAATAGGAAGTCCATTATACTTTGGCAAGTCTATATTTCTAATTCTGAAATTGTAGATATTCTGTGGTTTCAATATGTTGTATCTTTAAAAGTCAGTTAGCCCAAAATATCATGAAGTGTATATATTTCAGAGAATAAACATTAGTGTAAAGATGTTATATTCCATGGTAATTAATCAGTGGTGAGTTGACTGATATTGTCTGATGAATTTCTTAAATAGTATACTAAATGTTGCCAGTGGTCGAGTTATCTTAACTAGTGACATCTAAACATGTGAGACATACTGTCCGATAGTATCCTTTCAATTACTGGGTAATAATTAATTATGTGATGAAAGGCATGTTTCGGAGTTGTTGTGACAGGTGAGAACTCTGTGTGATACTATTGCCAGCTCATTAGAACCTGATCTGTTCACTTGTGTTCAGCTCTGCATGAGGATTTTACGAACCCCAGGAGGTCAGGTCAGGTCGGGTCAAATTGGCCAGGTGGTGACTCAGCTTCTAAA